TTTGTCTTCTACTTTATATTACAGTGTTTAGTATTTTGACTATAACATCATCATTACTCAATGAAAATCAAAAAATTTTTTAACCAAAATGATCAGCGAAAAAAGCTCTACAAAGTCTGATATGAGAGAAAATTTTCAGAGTACCCTTAGTATTCGTTCATGCGTAAAAACAAAAATGTACATGCTTTTTTGGCCGCGCACTGTATGCTAGAAATAAGTGAAGTCTATGATGAATATAAGAGTGTGCATATAGATGTGGATCTTGTTTTCACTCACACCCATACCCACGATGGTCTTCAATTGATCATGTAAGTATGTCAATAGAATGACAACGTGGTTAGTCGTTTGCTCAATTGTCGGATAAAACGTATGTTAATGGCATTCTATCGATCAATGAGTAAAGCTAACTGAATCACTGGAAAAATTTCATTTTTCTTGCATTTTTAGTTGAATTTGGTTGTGAAGTGTGGATGTCATAAGCTCTGACTAATCTCACACCTGTACCTCAATGCATTAATTGATCTTCATTTGGGAAGAGTTATTAGGAGGCATATGTATATATTCGATGATTAGAAGTGTCGATCAAATGCAATTTCAAATTCTCTCTTCTTTTTTTTCATGTTTACTAAAATGCTCAAAGGAAAAAAAAAAGCAGAACATGAATTTTTCGCTATCATTTCAAGCTTTCCCATGTAAAAATCGGCAAGAAATTTGATTTTAATCTTTTTTTTTATGATCAAAGGTCGATTAAAATGCCACGATTTTAAGCTGATTTTAATGATGTTTAATAATTTTGGTCGATTATTTAATTTTCAATCGATTTTAATTGCTCTGACTATAAAATGCGTTTTTCTCCAGTTCTAATGTACAAACTTCAACTTTTGATTCATTTTTTCTGACTTCTCGCATCAACAAATGGTAAGTATAGTACTAGCCCCATATTTCATACACTTCCACATACGAAACTAATTCATACTTACTCATGTAAACCAAAATATCGATAAATTAGATTAAAATCGATTAAACTCAGATTTTTGGTCGTTTTTTTATATGGGTTGGTATTTTCCTAATGTCTATGGTCAAGTGCAAAGTACATAAATGTAACAATATACTTCTTTCTAGTCACTATTTTTTGTTGGACCGGTTCTGCGTGAGAAAAGATTGTCCACATGTGCTTCATATTGATTCTATCCTTTTTAGTGCCTGAAAATAAAAAAAAGGGGATGAATCAAATTAAAATTCGATGCTATTTGGAAACATCCCGCTTTCTTCTATATTCCTAACTGGGGCAAATCATTCTACTCCAACTTTCGTGCTCAAAATAACAAACAGCAAACTGATCGTTCCGAAAAAGAACAAGAATTTCGCACGTTTCTCTCTCAAGCTCTTGGTTTCATCAGCCAGATAACTGTGTTTTGGAAGAGAAGCAAAGCATCTGTCGAAGAGACTTTCGCACAGCTCAATTTACCATATCCTATCAACATGAGAATATTCGCCGAGCAAGTCCATTTTTACGGAAAATGCTGAACATGTCCGTCGTGAATGTAGAAATTTTCAACGAAATATATCAACCTTTCTCGATCGAACTAAGAAGGACGAACGTCCCAAACAAAGTTGGATCAAACGATTTGCTAGCATTGTTTTTTGGGATCATTAAGACTGCTAGTTCTATAATCGGTGTTGTCTTTGCATTTAAGAAACAAGCACCTCTACAGGCTGCAACATTAGTATTTTTGCTGATCAATGAGATTGCACTTCCGTCGCTAAAGCAATTGTACACAGGTATGTGTGAAATATAATTGGTGTCACAGTCAAAAAGTTTTCAGGTATTGAGTAGGGCTGCGAGAGTTAGTTGGCAACAACGAGTTCAAACTATAGAAAAAAAAGCTATTAGAGCAAAGGATTATATCGATCAAATACAAGAGAAATTATCAAACGTTAATGTAAAGCTTACTCATCTTGAAAATCAACTCAGACTTGAGGGTGTGAGTGTGGATGTGATTCGATGTTAAATTAATGCCAACACCCGCGTTCACATAGACACATACTACACCCACACGTACAAAATATTCATTTTATACAAATTATATCAATAATAATGGCTTGATCAATTCAGAAACATAAATTGTGATGATTGCAAATCTTTTTCATCAAATTATTCTAAAATAAGAATTGCTTAGCGAAAAAGAAAGAAGAAAAATATTGATTTGTTTCGAATGAAAATATAAAAGGTGATAGTCTGAATGAATACGATTTTGATTTGATTTAGAAAGAGACTAATTCTGTCTTCTTCAATGAAGAAACTCTTATTAATTAGGATAGAATTTTTCAAGTAATGATATGATTCTCAAAGAAAGCAAAAGAGAGTGTTGGTGTAGATTCATCTTATATTTACCCACATCCTCAAGAAAATCGGTCATGTACGTCGAGAGTAATATCATTTTGAAAATAATAGCATTTTTCTGAAGTAGAATTGATTTCTAAAATAATTTTCAAATAGAGTCGGTTTGTAGACAAACAGTATCTTGTCCTTTCGATAAGAACTGTTTTTCTATTATATGGGACAGTTATACTAATGTCTATCAAAAAAAGATAGATCGAATTTTTTTTCTATAGAAATTTTTATATGATTCTTTTTAAGATTTCTAATTGGTCACTTTGAAAAGAAACCTATCTCGTAAGGTGTTTACAGGTAATTTTTCATTTTCAGGTATCTATTGAAACGACCAATAATAGATACTTCATATTGCACAGGGTTTAAATATTTAGAATTAATTATTCAGAAGTAACAGATATTCAAATCAAAACTCTAAATAATTTTCTCAAACAGTTTATTGCTGTTATCTTGTTGGATAAAAAAATCATTTTCAACACTCATAAAATTGATTCAACAAATTTTGAAAAACATAACCAAGGAAAACTGGTAATATACGATTCAGTGCATCTTCATTTCTGCTTTTAACGCTTAAAAACATAGTTCGTTCTATTGTTTCTATCAAAAAATTATTCAAAAAATTTCCAGTCAATTTTGTCTTATAAAGAGTTCTTGATGTAACCGTGTTACATAGAGTATTATTCTCACAATAACAGCACATAAAAAGGAGATTTTCCTAAGGTTCCTATGCGAAACAAAAATACCTTGGTCACTAGTTTCATATATTCTTAGGTATATTTATCTTCATGATAAAATGATGATCTATCATGATTGATCATCTATAGAATAGAATATTGAGATTAGTCTCTTTCTCAATCTATGAAGAGCTAATCGAATATAAAATAGTTTTCAATCATCAATCAATCAATAATCAATGGATTTGTCGAATAGAAAAAACTGTCGAAATTGATACAGACAATTTCTTCTATTCATTTGTTGATTCAATTGAAATGAGTTTGAATTATTGTTGAAATATTATTCAAATATACTTTTGTAACATCAGTCGAACTATTACCGAGTATGCCAAAATGTTTGCAATATAGTTTGTTTTGTGAATATCTTTGCATAGGCAAACGATTAAAGCTCGATTTTATTTTCAGAAGATACGCCGTGAAAAGCTCTACAAAAACTGGAAGACCAGCGTTCTATTAATCCATCTTGATGGTTTCTTCCATACTCAAAATGAAAAAAAAATACATGCTAATGCTATTTCTTATCCTATTTAACGTAATAAAAATGTTTGGAACATTTTTTTGCTTTGCATGTATCTCGGCTTGAGGAAATGAGAGTACGTTGATTTTTTTCAGAAGATGTGCCGTCGAAAGTTCTACAAAAGTCGTATGAACAAATTCCTGTTACAAAACAAAAAAAAAAAATCTTCGAAACATTTTCATTATGTGGAAAGTAGCGCTATCATACATACATGTGTCTCATTTTGAGTATAGAGGAAACTATCAGAACAAGTCAGTAGGAATTTGCTCGTGTAGTTTTTGTAGAGCTTTACACGGCGCATCTTCTGAAAAAAAATCGAAATTTTATCATTTATCGATGCAGAGATATTTACAAAATAAACTACGTTGCAAACATTTTGACACATCTTGTGTATCTATATATATATGAAAAAAGTCGATTCCAAAGATTGTCAACATCTTGTAGAAGAAAAAAAAACACTTTCTTTTCTTTTTGTTATGATTACTTTGCTATTGTTAGTGTATTGAATAATCTTTAATTCAGTTTAATTAATGCATATTTCCTGTTACTTATTTATCAAAATCGAATAATTTTCTTTTCGATTGTTTTGATTGATTTACATCGATCAATGATATATAATCCATAAAAATTTTTTGTTTCTAAGGGGAAAAGAATATTATTTGCAATAATTTTAAGATGATAAATAAAGTCTATTAAATATATCATGTAAAGATGATCGTTTGATTTGATTTCAGAGTATTATTAATGTAAATTCGATCGAGGTGAGTATAATATGTTATTGACACCGTTGTCGAACTTTCAAAGGTAGTGAAATGAACCCAATTCAATGATACTTGTATATAATTTAGTATTTGTCTCAAATGAGTATTTGTTAGAGGAAAAGATCATGTTGGAAAACCAATCTGCAGTTTTTTTCTATTTGTTTTTTAATTTTAACTGATTTTATTTCTAAATATGCTTTTCTTGACTGAAAGAAAGATGCATTTCAACATATTTTCAGAACCCTGTGGACCATTCTAAATTTTTCATTTTTGAATAAGAAAATTCTAAACCACACACCAAATGTTATGTGACTGCTTAGCACAATTTTCATTCTTCTAAATTCAAGCCATGACTATCTCACGTTATTACTGTAAACACGAAAGTAACTAGATCAAAGTCACTTTTATATATTTTTCGAATACTTTTATTTTGACTACGTTGCTTTTTTCAACAGATACTATTAAAATATTAATTAAATTTTTTTTTTCTTTCTAAATAGTAATCAAATATAGCTAGTAAGATTAGTATAATATGTAATAATTAGTCAATAGGCGCTCAGAAATAAAGTTATTGTCTATCTAATGTTCATCGTTTAGTCATCATCTAATGAAGCTGACGTTGGTTCAACGTTGTAATTGGGTGCTTGTGGTTTACGCTCACCAGGTGGTATCATCATATCACCACCTAGCATAAATGAAACTTTCGCAAATTTGTCATCGGGTAAGGCAAGCTATATCATTTAAAAATTAAAAATAAAGCGTTCTTCAAATAATTAGCAATGTTAATGTTGATTTACTTTGAATTCATAACGTATAGCACACATATTTGTTTTACGAAGAGCTACTGGTTTCAATTGAAAATCAGATGGAATTTCTGGAAATGTTTCATGTACTTTTTGTTCAATACCTTCTGCATGCTACAAAACAAACAATAAATATGGTAGGCACAGAAAAAAAAAAGAATTAACTGGATATTATTTACTAGCTGATAAAGTTCTTCATCTTGTGAAGTTAATGGATGGTAACTACTATCCATCTCAATACAAGTCCGTCAGTATCGTCGAATGCTAAAAACAAAAAGCTGTTTCTTGCTTATGAATGAAAAGTAAAAGTAATTGATGCATGTATAGATGTTTTTTTTGCATACTCCCAAGGTAAGTATGAATAAAATACATCGTTCGTTTTCATTCTATGAAGGTAAAAAATTTCTCATTCATAAAAAAACTATTCATGGCATATACTCGATGTTACACGTGTTCATACTAATTTTTATTAGTTAAATATATATGCATATATAAACAAGTGTGTTGATGGGAAGAAAGAAAAATGCTTCAGTCATTTTGTATTGATGATTATTCATCATTGATAATGTAACATTCTTTCATGTTCTTATGTATTCTATTCACAAAAATAAAATTTCATAAAATTGAAAGTCAAAATAGCCTTCTTAGCATGCATAATTTGAATATTTAGTAATTATTTTTTATTTTGACAGAAATGAAATATATTCTTGTCATATTTTATGCCAAAAACAAATCCAGTTTTTACATTTTACTTGCTTTGGCTACCGAAAACGACAGTGAAATCAACCTATGAGATAGGTAACAATTCAGAAATCACATTAAAACATTTCCATATTTATATTCAGAAATTTTTTCACATATCGAAGTTAATCAACCACATAAGATACTTAACACACATCCACACACCTTTATCATCAATACTTAATATTTGAAAATTAAGATTCTGAATTGAGTGTTCAGAAAATAATAATATTGAGATAAAAAAAATGCATCATTCGTTGTTGCGTGATTGTATATTTGGCTGGCTCGATGACATCTATTATTGTTGAAGCTGTCATACTAATAAACCATCATGAACTCGATATAAAACTTTAACGAACTGTGCATGAGGCAAAGTCATCTACAAAATTCAAAACTATCAATGTAGTCGAATTCAACAATTAATTTAAACACAAGGTTTTTAATATCTTACTTTAAAAATTTAGTGATCGAAAAAAGTTTAATAACAACATTGTTTCTTCTCACTCTGTTCGAAGATAAAGACTAAGAAGGTTCTAATAATTATTATAGTTAGAGAGAATCAATATTCACTTAGTACATATGAGTGTTGTCAGGCAGGGAAGAACCAGTTTTTTTTAACACCTCAATAATAATTACATCGGAGCAATATGATTTTTTTCAGATGTCCTTCACACGTGGAGCTAGAAAATACCTACCTTCTGAGTCCTACAGAGTGATAGAAGCAATGTAAGGGTGTGGTGGTGCAAAGCGTCATCACCCGAAGAGTCGCGACCCATGCATAATCCTGTGTACACTATAACATTCATTATGTTCCATCAAATGCTAGAATTACTTCATGGTTCAAGACACAGTCTAATCTTGTCTCTGAATATTTACCAATAACATATACAGAGTACGTAAAAATGTTTTTCCAGGGGCGTAACTCTACGCTATCACATAGTAACCATAATGAATTTTTTGTAGCAAATGAAAGCGCGGAAAAAATCTGATATTCTGATGCTAAATTGTAAGGGTTCTGAAAATTTTTTTATATCGAACATAATTTATTTTCGAAAATTTGCACAGAATCATCGTGATCACGTATCGATAATGAGTTTTCAGGTACGAAATGTGCTTTTTTCCACACAAATTTATATAAGTATCACTGTGCAAATCATTTAACATTATCCAGCACATAAGATGATATCATTCTTGTTCATTCTCTCACCTTTTTATCTTCTACTTCTGAATATGAATGATGGTATGCCAGCAAAATAAGAGAAAGCGTGTAGCAGTACTCGTTATCTATTCTCTATTGAGTATCTTTTCGTTCTGCAAGCACGTTTCGATTCACTCATCAAATGGTATTTTTCATTTCTATCTGTCTAAGGATAAAAATTTCATGACCTTCTGCAACAGCGCAAAGTCATTTCGTGGTATATAAGGTAGATAAACAAAAACAATCGATTCTTTTGGTGGCTGAAGTTAAGTTAATTGGTTGGAACTGGCTGTGGTACTTAAGATTCAGAACAGCAAAGAATCTTCGACAGAATCAAATATATCGCTTTTCGTGAGGCTCGACATGGAGAGATCGTACGATGATTGCTTCGCTAATTATTTCGAGTGTGGTCGAAAACTGAAATTATCAGATGCCAGTCAAAATCCCATTCTCAGTGCAACTGGCAAGCAAAACAGAAGTTCTTACGCTTTGCTCAAAGAGATTGCGGCATATGTTACACCAAATAATTACCGTCATAGGGATGAATTGAAACCATTTCTTGTTATTCCAAAACCCTTAAAAACAGAAACCCATATTTCGGATCGATTGTGGTTTTGTGATTGACTAAGAGACTGGATTCAAGAAGATTTTCTTCATTTCGCACCATTGGATGAATTTTATGTTTGGACTGTTCGCAGACCAATTTATCAAAATGGTAGAGTTTGGGCAAGAAGTGTTGCAGGTATTGAAGATGATGAAAAGTATCGCGAAATGGTAAAAAAACCAAGCATGTATCGGTATTTTTATCATTTTCACGGCAAAAAAAGCTGCATTCGGTAATGAAAGAGAAGGGTGAATCTTGGACAGGTCAATATTTCCGTGACGTTATTTTGATGCAGCACGTGTTTCCATTTCTCAACGACGAAGAAAATGTAATCGATTCTGATCAAGTGATATTTGTCCATGACAAAGCGCCATGCATGTGTGCAAATATAACTCAACATCTGCTTAAAGAGAACGATATCACTCTTTGAGGTAATGACACATGGCCTGACAATTCACCTGATCTGAATGTTGCTGTACATCTTGGAGCAATAATTAAAGATGAAGTTGAGCGAAAAATATTATCGGAAACCGTGGAGAATCGTTATAAGCAAGAGACATTAAAAAAGCATCTCATACATGTTCTCACTAACATGGAAACAAATGTAGAACTATTTGAAACTCTTTTATGTTCGTATCCGTCCCGTCTTCAGGCAGTGAGGAATGCCAATGGACATCACACTGATTATTAATTTTACTAATCAGTTTTGAAAAATAAATCCTCTTGATGCTATCGATCGCTTCCAATTAGATTCACTTCGAATTGCTTCAAGCAATAAACTTCTTCATAGCAAAATAGCTCCAAATTCTAAAAGATAAATTATGTTCGTTATCAAAAAAACTTTCAGAACCCTTACAATTTAGCATCAGAATATCACATCTTTCCTGCGCTTTCATTTGGTATAAAATTCATTATGGTTATTATGTGGAATTATAGAGTTACGGCTCCTGAAAGACTACTTTTGGGATCGTTTTTTCAGAGATTTGCTCCCTTTGTTATAAAAAATTTTTCAGAATCCTCACAATTTAGCATCAGAATATCAGATTTTTTCCGCGCTTTCATTTGCTACAAAAAATTCATTATGGTTACTATGTGTTAGCTCCCTGGAAAAACATATTTACGCACCCTGTATACCACTATCTTCGGTTGCATAATCATCATATAATACATGAAATACTGTTTCGATCTATTTTATTACAAAATAAAAATAATTATTAGACAAATCAAACTAATTATACATTAGCAATGGAAGGAAATAGTGATATATTATGCATTTCTTTTAGATGAGTTCCTTTAAATTTAAAAAAAGTCAAATTTATTGTTTAGAAAAAACTAAATAGTTTCATTTACCGTTTAATTGTGGGATCACCAATAAGTGGAAATGATACCCGAACAGCTGGATCGTCCACATCTTTATAGTTGTGACCAGCTTCGAAATTTCATAGAAATACAAGAACCTATTGAAGAAGGTATTACCTTAATAAAAGTTTTTTTTAATTTTCAAGTATTGAATAATTTTTTATTCATACTTTAAAACCTCGACAAGTAAAATTTTTTTTTTCTCTAATTATTTAAAACTATAGACCAAACTGATTCTTAAAATCATGGATACCTTATGTTATAGTTTCGTCGAAATCAATCCATCGATCCATACGATCAACAATTTTTTTTTCAAGTATTTTCGTATCTTTTTTATTTGTGCAATAAGAAAAACTTTTTTTTTTGAGCAAGATAGTGTATAAAGATATTACAGAATATAATTAGATAACAAGAAAAACTTATTTAAGAAAGAAAAGTTACAATGAGCGTAGAAGAAAAATATTCGTAGAGCAAGAAAAAAACATTCATTTTTTATCCATTGTACAAAAGATATTCGAGCATCAAAAAACATATTTAACCAAGAATTGTGATAGTTATTACATAAAAAAATATTTATGCAACAAAAATAAATACGTTTTTGAACAAACAATTTCGATCGATTGCACAAGGAAATATTTGACCAAGAAAAAGAATTTTTTGCGTAAAAAGAAAATTTCAATCGTTGTACATAAGTAACATTCGTGTGCCAAAAAAAGAAAGTTTTCAAATAACATCAATAATAATATTGGAATAAGAACAAGAATTCATTCACTTATTTTATAAAGCATATTCTCAATTAATAATTTAATTATTTCAGCGTTGAACATCTCTTGTTGTTGTTCGAATTTACGATTGAATTCTTGCCGTTGTTGTTCTAATTCATGAATGAATGCTTGTCGTAGTTCTTGTAATTGACAACTGAATACATAATTTTGTTGAATAAGACATCGATTTAAAAAATCAATTTGAGAGAGTAAGATATTGATATGTCCTTGATAGATACTGTCGATGGAATTGTATGTATGTTGTTGTTCGACATCGATAATCTATAAAACAAATAATAAATATTAGAATTTGAGAAAGAGGACTTGCAAGAACTTGCTTCTTCATCGTTCATCATTGCGTGATTGTCTATGTTGGTATTACTAATTTTAGGGTCAACAATGAAAAAACTTATAGGTCTATCTAGAATTGAATAAAATTTAGAATTGTCTATCTAATCTAATTGACATTTTCGCCACAATCTACCAGTATCATGCTCCCTATTCACACGAACTTACCATTAAGAAGCCCATTGGAATAGTCCTTATAAAATAAGCAGTGTGAAAATG